TTGTTTGAAGATGTGCCATTCTCACTGGGGTGAGGTGGTATCTCATTGTGGTTTTAATTTGCATCTCCCTTATCACGAGTGATGTTGAACATTTTTTCATATGCCTGTTGGCCATCTGCATTAAGGAATGTGTCACTTTTAAAATCCGTAAACTGACTGGGCAATCTCTGTCATCTAACGCCACAGAAATTAGGTTGGTTCTCCTGCTGCAATGGCGTCTGTTACCAGCGCAGCCATCATCGCTGAGCCAAGGAAAGATGACTCCAAAGAACTTTCAAATCGCTCTGCCCACTTGTGACTCTTTAATGTGAGTAGTAATTAGTCCCACTAGTTTTTAACTTATAAGCTACTGCATCTTTGTTGCATATGAGGAAATGAATGAATATAACGAATACCTAAAGAAAAAAAATCTGTGTTCTATAATATTAGAGATATGTAGCATGTTATTTATTAGAAATCTGGGAACAAACAAAAAATAAATGTAAGTCATTAAGTTCATACCGTAATGTTTTGTTTTAGCATATTATAACAATTTTTCTTCTGGTGGCAATTCCCTTTTTTGTTTACTTAATCTTTTTCTTTTCTAAAATTGTCCTGATGTACTATTCATTTACAAACCTATATAATGTCAGGCGTATAACATCTCACCTCCACAAAGTCTACTTTCACATTCATCCTTTTACTCCCTTTTTTCTCTCCCACCCAGCTCAGTTCATTTTTCAGTCAATATTCATGTTAATTTTCTTAACACATTTCACTATATTTTAGAGGGCCTTGCCTTTATTTCCTTATGAGCTTCTTTGATAGCCCATAGAATCTCTCTGGAATAATGCTACAGATAGTTTAAGGACCATTCGACAACAAAATTGGTATGTTGAAATCTGATCCCTTTTAGTTATGGCAGTTAGGAAGTGGGGCATTTGGGAATTGATTAGGTTATGAGGGTAGAACTCTTAGGAATAGAATTAGTGCCCTTATAAGAGAGACCCAGAGCAGTCCCTCCACCCTTCTACCTGTGAAAGTATGCTGCAGGATGATGGTGATCTGGGAACCAAGAAAGAGGCTATCGCCAGACGCTGAAACTAAATCTGTCAGCACTTTGACCTTAGACTTCCCAAACTCCCGAAATGTGAACAATACATTTCTGACTTAATAACCACTCAGTCTATGATAATTTTATATAGCTTCCCAAACAAAGACAGTTTACAAGGACATGCTGAATGAATATGTGCAACGTAAATTCCTCCCAAGTCTGAATTTCTTGTTTTTCATAGACATAAAAGTTAAAATATAACAATAATAGTAAAAAGAAATTAAGTCTTCTTAAAAATGAAATTTATATTGATGTAAAAATGTATATTGATGTATTTATATTGCTGTATTAGTTTGGGGAGTACAGCTTCTCACTTCAAAATGTAGAGAAATGTGTATTGCCATACCACACGACCATCATAGTTCTAGTACCTTTCACCCCTATAAATGGGCCCCCTCTACCCATTTCTCCCATCCTTAACCCCTTCCCTCTAGTAACCACCATATTTTTCTCAGTCTAAGAGTTATTTTGTTAGTTCATTTTGTTTATATATATTTCACATATGAAACCAGCTAGTATTTGTCTTTCACTTTCTTATTTCTGTTTAGCATAATCACTTTAAGTTGTAACATGTCACAAATGGCAAGACTTCATTTTTTTTAATAGCTTGTATAACTCCATTGAGTATATACACCATAACTTCTATCTGGTAATCATTTGATGAGAATTTAGGTTGTTTCCATGTCTTGGCTATTGTGAATAATGCTTGAGGGCAAATATGGATGCATATATCTTTTTGAATTATTGTTCTCATATTCTTTGGCTGGATACTTAGGAGCAGAATTACTATATTGTATAGTTGGTTTGTTTTTTTTAAAGATTTTATTTATATATTTGTGCATATAGAAATGGGGTACAGGCCAGAGTTCAGTGTGGCAAGAGGATTCATCAGAAATAGAGTGAGGAGCAATACAGGCAGATCAACAAAGTACACTGCTGAGGGGAGCAGCGGGCAGGTCAGGAGAGGTCTGCCGCACCATTGTGGGTCAGGAATCAAACCGTCACTTAAGTGTCAATGGCTTGGCTTAGCTTCGCTTAGCCACAGGGCAGGGCCCGTGTTTTGGGTTTTTTTTAAGTATTTCCTGTTTTCCATAGAATTTGCACCAGTTGACTTTCCCTCCCATGGTGAATGAGAGCTCCTTTTCACCTCACCAATACATGTTGTTTCCAGTATTTTTGACATAAACACAGGTGTGATGTGAGAATTCATTATGGTTTTGTTCTACATTTCCTTATAACTAAAGATGTTGAATATTTTTTCCATATGCCTTTTGCCAATCTGTATGACATTTTTGGAGAATTTTCTATTCAGATCTTTTGTCCATTTTTGGAACAGGTTGTTTGGCTTTATTATTGTTGAGTTGTGTAAGTTCTTTATATAATTTAGGTATGAACTTCTTGTTATCTAACAAGGATGCAAGAATGCAAATATCTTTTCCCAGTAATATCGTCTTTTTTATTTTTGTAGTGATTCCTTTTGCTTTTTAGTTTTATGTTGTCCCATTTAATTAATTTTTTGCATCTGTTTCCCTTGTTATTGGAGTAGAATCCCCAAAGACACCACTGGAGTCAATGTTCAAGAGTCTATAATCTGTGTTTTCTTCTGGTGTCCTATGGAAAAACCTAGTCTTTAATGCAGAAGTAATTGGTATCTGTAACATACAGATGGTGCTGTGGTATGATATAAAGTGTTGGATTTTCATGATGAGTAATTTCCTACTTTTGATCTTCTGCAGATTGTTCAGTCTTTAATCTCCAAGTGGCTTTTGTACATGTTAAAAAGTAGTCACTGTTGTTTACATTTTAGATTTTTAAAATCCATATAGATGCCTTTTTGTCTGGGTCAGTAGGCCCATCTGGAAATTTCATTTCCTAAGAAATGAGAATCAAGTCTGTGAAGTTAGTTTTTCCTAACAATAGTGATTCTTCCATCTTGGAATATACAGTTACACTGTATTTCTTATGTGAGTAGCTCCTACTTCTGTAACTGTTTCCTACATTCAGTCTTCTCTACAAACAGAAGCAAATACATGTTTATATGTCTTAAATAGACATAGTCAGTCATTGCCGGGCTAGATGCTATAGTGTAAAAACACAAAGTGACTAAGTACATTAATCATGCAAAGCAATGAGAAAAATTACAGTTGTTACTTTTGAAAAATTGTCAAGGCATCAAAAACTCTCTTATTGGCAGTTCTAGCTCTAGGAATGGGGAAAAAGTAAAGCTGATATTTATTTAGCATACAGCCATTTAAATGTTAAAAACATTTGAGGATTAAGGTATCTTATTTCTCTGTTAATTTGCTTTTAAATTTTTCTCTAAGGAGAAATGAATTAATCTACGCCAATCTCAGTTTAGCCCTCTAAGCAATCCTAGGTATCTGAAGACTTATATTTTGCATAGTCACATCTAATTTATATTTTTTTAATTTCTGTGTTTCCTAATTTGTGATAGATAGTGAGCAATATTTCTTTGACTTGATGACTTATCATATACCTTGCTCAGTCTGGATCAATTTATTATTCTTAAAGTTTATTATTTTTTTATCCTCTGTGTTTTCAAAGTCATGGAATAGCTCTCAGAAATTTCTTTTCTAATAAAACTTTAGTTTTGAAGTAGCTTTGCTGTCTCCTGGAATTCTGTGCAATTTTTAAAAGACTGTAGACTTTTAACTACACATTGGATATGACCTGATTTCATTTGATAGTACTGCTTTCAAAATATTGACAGGCTTACTTTGCTAGCTCAAAGGTTTTCAAGAATTTTGGTATCATGTAGCAGTAGTTTTCAGACTTTTGCAAGTGACATTATATTCAAAGTATAGCTATTCTGTTATATCAGTGTTGGGAATGGAAGGCCTAGAATTCCATTCCCTAGATGTCCCACTTAGCACCTGGCATTGCTTCCAAATATCTTCAAAATCATGTACTCCATTCTAGATTAGCGGCCCATGACTCACAAAGTACAGTCATTGAAACATCCACATGCTACAGGTCAGCGAGATTTGGGCATCTATACTTATGCCTCAGAACCATCCAAGCTTGGCAGAATTATTCCATCCCTCTTTTGGCTCTTTTGTAGAACACTGTTTTGGATCGAGTGTTACTCTGCACCTGACCTTCTAAATGATGCTTCAGATGGTTCCTGGCTCTCAGCACCCAATTTGATCATGGTTTTGATTCTACTTTTCAATATACATTTTCCAAGACTGGCATTTTCAACACCAGCCTGGAGTCTAGAGTCACATATAGTCCCACACACATCTAATTTATGTTGGTATTTCTCTCTCCCATGCCTTTTGCTGTTTTAGCTTCTAGAAATGCATCCTTGTCCTAAAGTCTCTATGTCCTGAATTACTTCCTTGCCTTCTTTGCAGGATCAGGAACAATCAAGTCTGGCTTTTAAGTTAGATCTCATTAATGCTTATGAGATAATTCCTGGGCAGAGGTTGAGAGAATGGAAGGAGTGATAGAATACAGAAGGAAGTGCTAAGAAAGAAAACTTCTTCCTTTAAAGCTTACCATAATGACATTTTTATCATTATAAAAAATGTACGAGAGGGGAAGAAGAAAGGGACAAGGAAAACAACTAATAGAAAAATTTTATCAGAAAGAAAAGCAAATATCTTTGTAAACACTTCTTGGAAAATTAGAGAGGCTACCACAAGTGTGGCTGTGTATATACGTGTGTCTTTGCCTGTGTGTGCGGCTTCTTCATGTTCTGAGTATCTCCAGTTCCAAAAACATTATGACCTCACAATTCTCATAAAATCTTAAGTTTATTTAAGACTGTCCATCAAAACCTAAGATATGTGTGTAGAATGCTTGATTACTAATACTTACCAACTGATCATCCAGTCCAAAAAGTTGTTCCATGTAGGTTTCAGATAATCTCCGAATTTTTGGTCTTATTGATGGGTCAATGCACATATCCCTTTAATGAAATAATACATAGGCAAGAACTTATTTTATAGTTCTGTAGTAGTTAGTTCCATAATTAAATGGTGAGATGTTCCCTTTGGGAGAAGCATATCATAATCAACTGAGGTGGGGTGGGGTGGTTTCCAAATTGTCTTCCTTCAAGATTTTGCTGCATTCCAAAGGAGGCATGCCTCACTTTATTCTTCTACAACTTGAAATAAATTGCCCTATGGCCACCTTACTGATGAGAATGCACTGTACTTCCAAATTTGAGAAGCAGCAAGCAAATCTCTATTGAAGTCTTTGGTACTTAAAACTCTATAGGTTATTTAGCAATCTTGAAATTGGAGGCATTATTAGCAAGACATCATTTGGTACTACACATTGGGGTTTGCCTTCAAAATTCATAAATCTCTGTACCATAAATCAATGATACTTACCAAAGAAGACTTTCAAGGCCATTTTCCATTATAAAAATGATCATTTTCTCTAAATATCTCAGTGGGTCCTCAGGACATGTAATAAGTAGGCCACATAACAGAGCCTGGAGGAAAAGGAAATGGAATCATTGTTTCTGAATTTGCTTGTTTTATAAACTCTTATGCAATATAAAGTCATATAATGTGAGTTTTTAAAGTAAATATGCTTTATTTATTCATATTCCCCTAAATTGACTTAGTGTTAATATCTGACTAAAATCAACCAAAATGCAGTTTAATTTCCTTTAAAAAAATTTCTCTGTAAATGGCATAATAAAGAATTCAGTGTTTTATGCTAGGTAAATTCTTTACAGTAAGATTGATGTCATAGACCTGATACTTTAAATCAGTGGGTCTTTTATTCTTTTTAAGTATGAAGAGTTCATTTTTAAAGTAAAGGCATCTACAGAATACTTACTTGAACATTTTTTCTCTCCACAAAGGAGAAAAACAAATGATTTACTGAATCTAAGATAAAGTATGTATAAGGAGATTAGAAAGCTGTCACTGATACAACATATGATGAAAATAAGTCTTCTTTCTTTATATTTCTTAAATATAAAGTCTTCTTTCTTTATACTTCTGAACTCCAATATTTCCTGAAAAAATCATCCTGAAGAATTCAAAGAACATATAGAACTAGCATAATTCAAAGTTTCACATCTTGCATGAGAAATCTTACTGTTCATAATTTCCCACTGGGCAAAATAAAATAGCCTGAGGTTTTATATATTAATTGTTAATTGCACATAGCCACATCACAATAAGAAAGCACATTTAGCAAATAAATAGCTTTTTTTTTTGCTGAGTAAAAATGAAGATGACAAAGTCACTACTAGCTTTGTATTTATAAATAAAAGTGAAATATATAAATGTTCCTATAAAATAAATATTTGACCTCAAAAACATTATTTTTATTAATTATTTATTTTCTTATATTGTTATTAATATTGAGACTATTTCATCTCTCCTCAGGTGACATCCCTGTAGTTCTCCCAACACATGACCCATTTCCCTCATCAATCAAGACTTTATTATTGCTAGTCTTCTTCCCAGCCCCCCCAGGTTTTATTGATTTGCCACTAGTTTATATAACTATAAACTTTGGGAGTGCAATGTCACTCCTCCATGTATATACTTTCACTCACCCTCCTTCACTTCTCCAGTGTCCAAACTATATCATCTTACATCTTTATCCCCACTCCCCTTCTCCCACCCCCTCAGATAATCATGTATTTACCATAAAATCTAGAATTATTCTAGTTGTTCTGCCAATTTGTTTTCTCTGGTTATTATATTTCACAAATGAGTGAAACCATGTAGTAACTGCATTTTGTTTTCCATATTATTTAATTTAACATAATCACATCACAACTCATCCATTTTGTCCCAGAAGGCACTATTTCATCTTTTTTTTTTTTAAAGATTTATTTATTTGTGCATACAGAACTGGGGTACAGGCCAGAGGCTCAGGGGTGGTGAGAGGCTTCACCAGAGACAGAGTGGGGAACAGAACAGGCAGATCACAGACGTACACTGCTGAGGGGAGCAGCGGGCGGGTCAGGAGAGGTCTGCCACACCATGTGGTCACCTCCGGGGCAGGCAGGAATCAAACTCCTGCGGAAGCGGCTTTAGATTCTCAGTGCTGTGCTTTAACCCGCTGCGCCACCAGGGAGGGCCCTATTTCATCTTTTTTAACAGCTGAGCAGTATTCCATTAAGTATATATTCCATAAATTTTTATCAACATCTCTATTGATAGACATTTAGGTTGATTCTATGGCTTGGAAATTGTGAATAATGCTGCTATGAACACAGAAGTACAGAAACAATTTTGTATTTGTGTTTTCATATTCTTTGGGTAAATACCCAATGATATTGTTGGATCATATAGTATTTTCTTTTCTTTCTTTCTTTTTTTTTTGTGAGGAATCTCCATACTGTCTTCCATAGATTCTGCACCAAATTACATTTCCACCCACAATGGATGAGTACTCCTTTTTCTCCAGATCCTCCCAAATATCTCCTGCTTCCATTCTTTTTGATACAGGCTATTCTCACAGGGGTGAGGTGAAAGCTTATTGTGGTTTTCATTTGCATTTCCTTTATAGTAAGTGAGCATTTTTCTTGTACCTGTAGTCTATCTTTGGGGAAGTATCTATTTAGATTTTTTTGCCCATTTTAAATTGAATTGTCTGTTATTTTGCTGTTGAGTTATATGAATTCTTTATGTATTCTGGAAATTAACTATGTCAGATGTACACTATGCAAATGTCTTCTCCCAGCCTGCAGTCTGCTGTTTTGTTTTGCTGTGGTTTCTTTTGAGGTACAAAAACTTTTTTTGAGGCAACATAATTTGTCTATTATTTTTGTTTCTTTCTGTTGATGTTGCATCCCCAAATACATCTTTGCAATTTACATCCAGGAGTGAACCACCTGGGTTTTTTTTTTTTTATGGTATTTTATATTTTCAGGTGTTAAAGCCTTTAGTCCATTTTGAATTTTTGTGTGTGGAGTTGACGATTTGTTTTTGCATTTGGCTGTCGACGTTTCCCAGCACCACTCATTCATGAGACTTTACTTTCTCCCTTGTGTGGTTGTGGCTCCTTTGTCAAATATTAGCTGTGTATATTTGTACAGGTTTATTTCTGGTGTGTCTTTTCTGCCCCACTGCTCTGTGTGTGTGTGTGTGTTGTTCCTATAGGACACTGTTATGATTACTATTGTTCTGTAGTATAGTTTGGAGATAGGAAGTGTGATACCTCCAATTTTCTCAGGATTGCTTTGACTATTGAGGGTCCTTTGTAGCTCCATAAAAATTTTGTGATTTAGCACTCCCTGGTGGAGCAGCAGGTTAAGGCACAGTGAGTTTAAGCACAGCACTGCAAACTAGCTGCAGCTGCAGCCACTTCAGTGCATCTGAATCTCCTGCCCTGGAGGTGACCCACAAGGCTCAGGAGACCGCTGCTCCCCTCAGCAGAGTACTTTGTCGATCTGCTTGTTCTGCTCCCCACTCTGTCTCTAGTGAATCCTCTCACTGACCCTGCATCTTTGGCCTGTACCCCAGTTCTGTATGCATAAATAACCTTTTAAAAAAATTGTGATTTGTCATTGGAATTTTAATAGGTATTTCATGGAACCTGTAAGTTATCTTAGGTAATATGACCATTTTAAACAATGTTTAGTCTTCCGATCCATGAACAAGGACTATCTGTCCATTTCCTCCACTCAGGTCTTAACGTTTTAATTGTGTAGATCCCTCACCTAGTTAAGTTATTCCTAGGCATTTCCTCCTTTTTTGGTGATTGTAAACGGCATCTTTTTGCACTGCTTGCATATAGAAAGCAACAGATTTTTATATAGACTTTGTATCTGCCATTTAACTGTATCCACTTATTTCTAGTAGTTAATTTTCTAACATTTCCAAAATTCTATTAGGAATTTGAATTCTACATCCATTATCTTGACTTTATGTGGACTTCTGTTCTCTTTCTTTTGTCCACTTCATGTTCAGATACTCCTTGTCTTTTTTTTTTAAGATTTATTTATTTGTGCATACAGAACTGGGGTACAGGCCAGAGGCTCAGGGGTGGTGAGAGGCTTCACAAGAGACAGAGTGGGAAACAGAACAGGCAGATCGACGAAGTACACTGCTGAGGGGAGCAGCGGGCGGGTCAGGAGAGGTCTGCCACGCCATGTGGTCACCTCCGGGACAGGCGGGAATCGAACTCATGTGGAAGCAGCTTTAGATTCTCAGTGCTGAGTTTTAAGCTGCTGTGCCACCAGGGAGGGCCTACTCCTTGTCTTTTAAACATGTTTATTGTCGTTTTTTGTTTGTTTTTACGTTTATTTGCCTTCTTTGTTTAACTTGAAAGCAGGTGAGGTATGGAGACACTCTGTAGCCCAAAGCTCAGTATGTTTGACGGAAAGGTAGAGGTAGTCCATTCAGAGCAATTTGTACTCTTCTCCTGCTCTGCAGAGTTAATACTGTTCACTGCTTCACAGAGCCCAAGTTCCTGGTCCAAACTCTTGCAAACCTGTGGGTGGGCAGTTTACCTGGCCTTGGTAAGGAGCACACTGGGCTTGGCACAGGACTTAGTTCAGGACACACAGGGTTTGGCATGGAGCTTGGTGCAGGGATTTAGGGCTTGGTACAGAGCAAGCCATAGCTAGCACAGAATGCGTGAATTTCTCTGTGTAAAATGTGCAGCTGATCACTCTCCTAGCCCTCCCAGCAGCGAGAAGGAGGGACTCTGCTGCCAGCAGCCAGATTTCCCAGAACTGAACCCAGTAACCCCAGTGCCATATGCAAGTAGATCTGTACCTCCCTCACTGAATAAAACTCCCTGGCCTGTGTGCCCACACAGTCTCTGCCCAGTCCCCCACTTATTCAGCTGACAAGCAGTACGACCGCCCTGGCCACCTCTGCCTTACTGTCTCTTGCTCTATCCCAGCAGTGAGTCGCCAACCTCAGAGCAAGATACATGTCTTGGTTACTGTTATTGGCAACAAACTGATGAAATTTTCTGAGACAGAATTTAGTTTTTCTACAATTATATTTAGGGAAAATGTTTATCAGAACCTCCCTGTTTTGTCATATTGTGGGTGAAATAATGCTAGCCATCTTTGTAAAAACTTACACAACCAGGGACAAAAAGACTATGACTTAATTATCTGGAGCAGTTTTCTGAAATTTGTGAATTCACAAAACAATTGTGCAATCCTTCACTTTGTTTTGGTTCTACTTTAGTAATTTCGGTCTCTAATACTTCTCAAATATTCTGAAAGGTTTTTGGGTGGTGACATCAAACATGGGTTTATTCAGAATAGTTGCTTCTACTTTTCACTTTTTGAAAGAGGGAAATAATGCAGTGGGTAGAGTCTACTGGGTTTAAACCCTAGGTCTATCATCTTGTGGTATAAACCTTATGAGAAGTTACTTCTCTGTTTGTCTGTTTCCTAAACTACACATGGAATAATCAAGGTATATATGTCATAGGGTTGTCATGAGAATTAAATGAATCAATATATGTAAAGTAATTTGAGTAGTACAAAATAGGTAATAA